AAAAAAATTATTAAAAAAACACAGGGAATGGAAGCAAATTCTGTTTAGTGATGATGTATGGAAGAGACTGTAATCATTGCAGTGAAATGATGGTGTAAAGCTGATGTTCTCCTGTGTAAACTGTCACTCAGTTCACAATAAAAACTTTAAATAAATAAAAAAAAAGAGCCAATGATACTGAAGGAAGATGTCAAAGGTGCATTGAAGGCTCTGGCAAAAAAAAATAAGTCTCCAGGAATTGATGGAATACAAATCGAAATCTTTCAACAAACTGATATGGCACTGGAGGCACTCACTCATTTATGCCAAGAAATTTGGAATACAACTACCTGGCTAACTGACTGAAGAGGTCCATATTTGTGCCTGTTCCAAAGAAAGGTGACCCAGTGAAATGTGCAAGTCAACAGACAATATCATTAATATCTCATAGAAGTAAAATTTTGCTAATAATAATCCAAAAACCACTGCAATCGTACATTGACAATGAACTGCTAGAGGTTCAAGTCGGATCCGGGTGAGGACGTGGAAGTAGAGATATCACTGCTGATATCAGATGGATCTTGGCTGAAAGCAGAGAATATCAGAAAGATGTTTACATCTTTATTGCTTTGCAAAGGCTTTCTTTCAATTGTGTGTGCCACCACAAGCTATGGACAAAATTGTGAAGAATGATTATTCTGGAACACTTAATTGTGTTCACGAGAAGCCTCTACATAGACCAAGTAGCAGTTCTTTGAACAGAACAAGGGAACACTGATTGGTTTAAAATTAGGAAAGGTGTGTGCCAGAGTTGTATTTTTCCACCATACTTGTTCCATCGCTATGCTGAGCACATAGTCTGAGAGTATGTGAAGAAAAATGTGGCATCAGGATTGGAGGAAGACTCATTAACAACCTGCAATATGCAGATGATACAACCTGCTTGCTTAAAGCCAAGAAGATTTATAATACTTACTGATGAAGATAAAAGCCTTGAGTTTGGATTGCACCTCAATGTAAAGAAGACAAAAATCCTCCCCACTGGACTAATAAACAACTTCCATATAAATAGAGAAAATATTTAAGTTATCAAAGACTTCAGTTTGCTCAGATCAACCATCAACAGTCATGGAAGCAGCAGTCAAATTAAACGACATATTACATGATACAAATCTGTTGTACAATACTTCTTGTAAATATTGAAGCCAAAGATGTCAGTTTGAGGACTAAGGTGCTCCTGACTGAAACTAAGATATTTTCAATGACCGTATATGCATGTGAAACCTGGACAAGGAATAAGGAAGACCGAAGAAGTATTCATGCCTATAAAACATGGTGTTGGTGAAGATCATTGGGTATGCCATGGAATTCCAGAAGAACAAACATCTATCTTGGAAGAAGAATAGCCAGGATGCTCGTTAGGAAACACGGAAGGAGAGACTTAGTCTAATCTACTTTGGACATATTATCAGGAGGAATTCCCTCAAGAAGGACATCATACATGGTAATGTAGAGGGTCAGTGAAGAAGAGGAAGACCTTTAATCAAATGAACTGACACTGTGGCTGCAACAATTGGCTGAATCATATAAATGATTATGAGGATGGTGCAGAACTGAGCCGTGTTTTGTTTGGTTGTACATGGAATTGCTATGAATGAGAACTGCCTCGACAACACTTAACAACAGCAACATCATGGCAATATTATCCTCATAAAGTTGCCTATCAAATGAATTTCTAAGTGATGACTTATGATTTGTGTTTAGTAAGAGTGTTCAAGTTGAACTCAGGTAAAACATTTTAACTCACCAGTTATGTTACAAAATACCAAGAAGGGTTCCAGAGGGCCGCTGCCATCTGGGTCCACATGGTAGACTCCCGAGGAATTGCCCTTGTGTTTGTAAGCCTCACATGACTGCTCGTAGAGGGCTGGAAAGAAACATCTACTGTGAGAGAGGGAAAGGAGCAAATGAAGTTCTCAGTATTTCATTAGGAGACAGTGAAGTCCAAATATTGACTATGTTGTTATAATCAATATTTACCCACCCAGTGAAAAACTGGCCACATCTGAAATATACAAACGTTTTTAAGTTTGTGTGCAGGATAGAAGATAGAAAAAACAAGTGCTGAAAATATTTTTAATCTCTGAAGTTAAATAAAAGGAGCTCTGGTAGCGTAGTAGTTACGAATCGGGCTGCAAATCGCAAGGTCAGCAGTTTGAAACTACCAGCTGCTCCGCGGGAGAAAGAGGAGGCTTTCTGCGCCCATAAAGATTTACAGCCTTGGAAACTCTGTTCAGGGTCACTATGGGTCGGAACCGACTCGACGGCACTTAACAACAACAATAACAAAGTTAAATAAAGTCATCTAGCCTAAAGGGAGTCTTAGTGTGACTCTGTGCATGAATGTATTGGACTGCAAAGTTGGTTTGAACCACAATGTTGGCGGTTCAAGCTCACCAGTTGCTCCTCAGAAACTCTCTGCAGTGTTACTATGGGCTGGGACTGACTCAACAGCACTTAACAATAACAATAACAATAACTAGCCTAAAGAGAAATGTGGTTTTGTTATATTTTGTGTTACAAGTAAATAAATTATGAGTGTTTGCATGTTAAGGGCTTATTCACAAGTATAATGTATTTCTAGAGGTCTTGAGTGTAGAAATGGTCAATGCACTTGATCACTAACCAAAAAGATGGAGATTCAAGTACACTCAGATGTGTCCTCAGAAGAAAGCTCTGACAATATACTTGCAAAAAATCATCCATTGAAAATCGTAGGAAGTACAGTCCTTCTCTGGTACACATGGAGTTACCATGAGCTAGGACCATCTCCACAGCAAGTGGCCTTAATTTCATATCTTTTCTTAGTGGCACAGCATATATTATTTGGATGAGTAAACATATATATGGTTTGTGAACCTCAGCATTATTAAGATTTGGGTCCCAGTAACTACATTGCCGTCTCACACACACACACACACACACACACGTATATGTGGCACTGTAGGATAAAGCACTAGACCACATGTTGCTTTGAACCACAAGATTGGTGGTTAGAACTCACCAGCTGCTCTTTGGAAAAACCTTATACAGGGTCACTATGGGTCAGAACCGACTCGACAGCACTTAACAACATACAGGGTTACTGTGAGTCAAAACCGATTCAATGGCAGTTACCAACAGTAACAACAAAACACATACATACATGCATTCCATATCTTCTTCCCTCTCCCAATACCCAAATTAAAAATAAAGCTTTAACAACTTCAGTTTAATTGGACATTAAACTTTAATGTCCATCTGACCTCATTTCGCACGGTGCTCTCACTAATCAGTTACTCTAGGTTAGCCAAACTTTTACTGTCCTCTACTTTATCCACTAAAAACTATAGCAAAGTCAGTTGTTAACTCAACCATGAGCCACAGTTGAAAAGGGCATATTTTTAATCTTCTGAATGTTTTTCTTTGAAAATATATTTTATTTGACGTTCCTGATGACAGTTGCACAAGGATAATTAGCCTGTCAAAACTTCCATACAAGAATAATTAAGCTGTCTGGTTTGTGTACTATTCTATGTCAGGTGGCTTGGAGAAAATAGAGAGGTAGAAGACATGGCCCTCAAGAAGTCTCCTGCCCTCTGCTCAGGCCTCTGGTCCCCAAATGTCACCAATCTATAATGAGGCATGGCATGGAGAGAGAGACCTTTCTCCTGACCCCTCTCAGTTTGTCAGGGGATAGGGAGTGGGTAGAATTCCCCTGCTGACGTGGTAGAATAATGTGAACTATGGACTGATCCTGCCTTGGTTTCCCCCTCATCTTGCCTTTACAGAGGTCTCCAGGACTGGGATTCTGGGTTATGAACCCAAATCCTCTCTGAAGATCACATGATGAGACCTTAGATAATTCAATATTCTTTAAAATCAAGCTCCACCATCAGGAAGGACATTGTGCCAATTTCTGCCCACTGTCCTCCATAAGGATCAAATTTTTAAAAATGTGCCAACATTACATCAAGGTATTGATTCTGGGTGATGATAATTATCTCCAAGGACAATTGGCAATGTCTAGAGACATTTTTGGTTTTCACTACTGGATGTGGGGGTAGTGTTACAGGAATCTAGTGAGTAGAGGCCAGGGATCCTTCTAAATACTCTGCAATGCAGTTACTGGGTCCCAAATGTTAGCAATGCTGAGGTTGACGAACCATGCATCAAAATGAAGACCAACAGGAGAAGGTAAGTTATAGTACTGTCTCTGTAAAATAGGGATTTTAGTAGCACCTAAATCCTAGGGCTTTACATTGAGATGTAATCCATACCAAAGGCTGTGCTCTTTGATCTTCATCAGTAAATGTTTTAAGTCCTCTTCACTTTCAGCAAGCAAGGTTG